CCTTCCGACTGCTTCGCACAGCAGCCAGAAAGAACCGGGCACAAGAACGGAGGAGTGAAACCCTCCAGGCATCACAGAAGACAAGAGTGCAGAAAGCTGTAGAACAAAAGGAGAAACAGATAGGAGCTGCAGAACACACAGATGAGGAGCACATGTAGAAGCTTAGAGACAAAATTAAGAGACAGGTGGGTGTCAGCCATACAAGAGGACTGCACCCACGGAAGAACAGTTTCAGTTCTTTGCCACCCAGCAAATACATGAAATCAGAAAATAGCAATCCATCTTCTTTGACTATTTTAATGAGGACGAACAGGCTTCTACGACTGTAAATTACTCCAGAGCTGAACAAAGATCTATGCATCTAAGGCCGGAATATCCAAAATATGGGCACTACTCAACCTACAGCTACTCAAGAAAATGGTTAGCAGGAAGCATCTTCCAGCCCATTCCCTGCCATATGACGTGAAGTACCTCCGTTTTGTAACCAACCCACAGGCAGCCATCAGGTGATACCAGATCACGTCACCAAGACCACATTTCATTTATGACTGCAATACTGATGTCCTACTGCCATCACTGCAACTGAAAATGCAGAATTCCTGATGTAGATGCTTATGGTATGGTCACAGGAAGGAGAAGGCTTTGAAATGAATCACTGATACCTCCATGAAAAAAAAAAAACAAACCAACCCTCAGCCAAAAAGCTGGGCATTTAAAGGCTCCAAGAACTTGCCATTTACCCGGCTGAAATCACAAGAGGCTTCTGTACAATGGCATTTCCCTTTTATTACTATTAAGAACTTCAGTTAAAAGAAGGCTGCCAATTTTAAAACTTTACCTTTCTATGCACATGTATCAAAACCAGTCCTTACATCGCCATACACTACTTCTTCCTCAGAGAGGGTCTGCCTCCTTCATCATACAGCACCAGTTAACTGCAACTCACGCCCCAATAAATGATGTTGCAAACAGACTGCGTGTAGAGCCCTGGCTTATTTACAGAGGAGGCAGGAAGACAGATGGAAGATGATGCCTACAGGAAAAAGATTCTCTCGATAAGGCCAACTAGAAGAAATACTGGTATGAGCCAGATCACATCGGGTTTGACTGGCACACGAGCAAAGCAATCAACCATAGGTTACATTCTGTGCAAAACACTTAGCATTTTTGTGGCACTTGACTTGTGTTTAAAGAAAAAACTTCAAAAGCATCTCAAACCTTTGAATACTTGAGAAACTGGGACCAAAACTAATGTTTGCGTTACAGACTAACATCACAATTTGAGAAAGCAAACTCAGACAAGTTTGTGAAGCATTCAAGCAGTACACAATGTATCATAGCACTGTCTGTCCGGACACTGACATTGTGTTTCTTAGAGGACATGAATGCTTGCAGGAATTTTTATAATATGTGACTACACAAGAAATGAAGATAAAAAAATACTGAATGGATGATTTGTTTTTGTAAGCACAGTCCATCCTGAATAAGGCAGGATCCTGAGGGATAAAATTACATACTGATGTAAATTTAGAGACCATTACATATACAAACAGAAGACAAGTTAAAGCAGCAAGGGCAACTTTAACTCTGACCTTATGATTTCCTTTTCAGGATACTATTCCTCCATCTCTGCACTAAGACGGAAACCTCCATCCTCCCACCTGGAACCTCTCAGTCCACCTCCATTCAGTAACATTTACAATTATATTACATCACACGCATGCACACACATTGCATAATATTGCTACAGTGTATGCTGTATAAATTATGTAAATACACTCCACTTTGTTTCAAAGTAATTCATCTGGATTTACACTTCTCTTATACAGTACACACAGTACCACATTCAAGGATATGCAGCAAGTGAATAATATATAAAAAAGTCTCACATATCCAAAAGCAAGTAGGTCACTCCACTATTCATATTGTTTTAAGCAGTTATTTAAGCATCCAACTATATAACACAGTATTTTATTTATTAACAGTTGCTATAAAAATGTCAACAACTCTCAGCTCTTGTGTTCTCTCTGCATTACGAAGTTGCCAAGCACGATTCCAGAATTAACTTCCACGTTACCATGCAGCTCTGTAATATCTCCTATAAGCTTGATGTGGCAAGACTTTTTAAACAGCAACCACTCTGTAACAGGGGTTTACATTTTGCTTTGGACATCAAGAGTGATAACTCACTTCAGACATGACAGACAGATGGGAATGTCAGAGTAGGTCTATCTTAGCAACGAACCAGCCAGGCTGCTTTCTTTCTCAATAATGGTTTTACCATGAAAGTTCAATGCACTGGTTGCAAAGTCTTTCCCAGATAATCCATCTTTGGCACATTTTTCAGTTTTATGCATCCTCAAAAGGCATTCGAAGGTTTTTTGATGGTCTGTACATTATAACAATCACTTCTTTTTTACATTTGTATGTAGATCAGGAAGAAAAGTGGAAAATGTAGAGTATGCAGAATAGTTTTAATAAACAGTTTTACATACAGTACCTTACATATAGAACAGTGTGTTTGCAAATTTAAATAATTTTTGAATGTACAGTGGCTTGTACTCTTATCAAAAGGTAAATTCAAGTTTACTGTCTATCCGTTCTAAAATGCATTTATACAGATAACTAGAACTGATAAACAGATGTGAGGCATAAAATGTTCAAGTATCTTAATGTCATCAGTTAAATAGCCTCCTTTTAACAGTCATATTTTACAAATTTCAAAACCTGTACATACATTATTTTCAATTTTAGAAACTGCTTGTTAAAAGGTAACATTTCATGTTAACCACCAGTTCTTATAGTCTATTGTAATAAAACTAGACATGTGTAGATATAAATGTATATAGTATGTATATATGTACATGTGTATCTATACACATATACATACACATACAAATACGTATGTAGCACTGGGTACAGTGGCAACTTATAAGCACAGGGAAAGTCCTGGGCTCAAAATCCAGCAAGAGCTAACAGAGCAAGTAGGTTGCCTTTGGTTTCATGATGTTTCATTCACTGAAGCTGAAAGATTTTATAAAAAACATCTTGGATAACGTATCTTGTGATATTTATTCTAGTGGTTTAGTATTTTCACAGCCACAGACAGTTTTGCTGCTCTTGTCATTCCTCATCCCAGCTGAGGATGGTAAAATTTTCAGAGGGCCAATACCAGAACAGAGCTACCCAGGACAAAAATTGTACCTTGAATCCTGAATACTGCAAGAGAACGTAAAAAAATATAAACTAGATACAAGTTTGGATGGATTGCTGGCACTGAGTAGGACTTTGGAAAAAACCTTCATGTAAGTCAATCGAACTCTCATCCCAGTGGTTTTAATATTATTTGGCACATCTGACCACTATTTGCCACTTATGTTTTAAAGGAGCCTAAGGGTGCTGTAATAAGGATTTCTATTTAAAAAAATACTTTAAAAAGGAGACCATGATAAGTAATTTCTTTCAAAAATCAAAGCTAGTATGTTCATTTTCCTGAACATTCATGAGAGAAGGAAAAACTCTAAAAACTTTCCTTGTAGAGAGGATACAGATCTCTCTGTGTCTATCTTTCACTAGCAAGATAAGAGGAATTCATTAAAAAACCAGTTCCCAAGAATTTTTAGTCAGCTGAATTCTGCTAATTGAGAATCTTTTGCCAAAGGTTTCAAAACAGTAGCATTGTCCTTCGCAGAGTTTTTGTTTGTTCAGCTTTCTTGTATGTGGGGATTTTCTTGTTTATCATGTTAAAATCATATCAACATTTCTCAGGATGTAATATATTACATTTTGAAGCTTGGACATTGAATATTCAGATTTTCAATATAACAGATTCCTTACTCTAAATTTCCTCTCCTCTCTCTAGAGCTTCAGGCTATTAATGTAATCAGCAAAGAACCAGATAAATGCTCAGCTTTTTCCTATCTTCCTGTCAGTCTTGTGGCTAGTAAGAAAATTCACCGTAAAGAACCTATTTTTATTTCTTTATTCTTCCTTTTGTCATACAGAGCAAAGCGTTGCTATTTGCTGTACTTTCCCCATGTCAATTAAAAGCTGTTTGATACGTCGCTTGAGCTGAGGCAATCTTGCCAGAGGATCTGGTGGTTCCAGTTCTCCAGTGAAATCAAGCCAGCTTTCTAAAACTACAGAAGGAAAAGGAAGAAGTTGATTAGAATAAGTCTTCGAGAAACAGTTTTCATAAGAATTAAAGTTTTCTCACTCTCTGTCTTTTATAAGAAGGGAAAAATACACTGAGGCTGAGAAAAATATACTGAGATTTTAATTAACAGAAGAAATTTTTATTAGGGAAATGCCAACTAAATCTGTATTTCACTCAAACAATCTAAACAGATCTTCTGATTTGATTATTACCATAAAAAGGTACCTGGGAGCAAGTTATACCCTTGGCTAACAATTTACCATCTACACACATAAAAGAAACCTCAGTTCATGATCTTCTAGCTATGACAGTTCTGCAACAGAAAATGGAATCCTTAAATGCAAGGCTTGCTTCTGTCACGTTAACAGGCTCCTGTTTACAAGGTCCAGATTACAGAATGGTTTTCCACTCTTCAACAAATGTTTTCAAGGAATTTCTCTGCTTGTAGAGACAGAGAAGGGACAAGGTCAACCCTGTTAGCCTAGAAATACTGCCTAGTAGAAAAGCAGGAATATTGAAAGTAAAACTGCAAATAGGAATAAGACAACTTTATTTGTCAGAAGATAATTAAGTACTCCTATGACTAGACTACAAGCTCTCCTCATTCTTAATTTCTGACTGGCAAGTAAATTTACGTGTTGTAATACTTACTCCCACACTATAATCTCATTCAAGTTTTCTCACGAAGCCTGATTTGTCTTCCTGAAACCAGTTATTTACCAATATATAGCAAACCAAAGTTGAAGGCAGAATGAACACATTTTTTTTTCGTAAATATTGTCAAATACTAGAACAGTCAAGTCAAAACCACTCCAGGCACAGAAAAATCCATCAGCTTTAAGATCCGCATCTGGACAAAGACTAGACAAGGTATCTAAGCTTTCTGAAATCTGCCTAATATCACAAACTTGAGCTAAATTCTCAAGGGTCCTGAGTGCTTAAGCTACTTTATTGGGCATTAAAAACTTGTGGAAGGGGGTGCAGGGATCAAGGGTACAAGCTCCGGTTATAATTTTGGGCACTCAAATTTGAATACAATTCTTAAAAATCCATCCTTAGTGCCTCAGATCACGTGCAACACCGTGGCTATGAAAGACGTTGTTACAGGTGTATTAACAAGTATCTGGCAATGCAGTTACCATCAACTTCTTTTTCAATCAGGTCCATTCTGCTGGTGACTTCGTTCTGTACATTCTCTATATGAGTAAGGAGATTTAGCTGCCATTGAAGATGTGTGTCCACTTGTTCTTCTGAGCCTTTTCTTTCATTACAAACAAACACAGTGTTTCCTTCAGCACAATTCTTCTTCATAGGAGCAACAGAAAGAAAAAAATTGCCATTTAAGAGGGTTGCTTTGTTTTTTAATTTCTGGTGTTGATTTCAATAATTGAGTCACATGATAAACTACGCTGTTTTAGAATTGTATTTCTGTCTACTTGACAAAAAGCATACTCAAAAAAGCCATGTACCATGACACATCAACAGACTAAACCAAACAAAATGCAAATTCCATACAAATGAGCATGTATAGCACTGGAGGAGTGAGGAAAGAGGTAAAGTTTACCAGCTCAAGCACTTTGTTTAATGCAGTAAGACAAATCGCATTTGTGTGCCCTTTTTATATAAATAGTGACTTAAATTATGAAGTGCTCAACTGCATCGCTCTACCATTACCAAAAATGTGCAAAACCCTAAGGTTTGTTTCAACTTTATCCAGAGAATGAAGGAAAACTCCTTAAAATGCAGTAATATCTAAGATGTCAAAAGTCATCATTCTGCACAAATAAGGTGGCTATTCTGCTTGTTGATTAAGACAAAAGACTTCTCTTCCTACCATTGCTATGGTCTCATGTAACTTGCAAGCACAAGTCTGGGACAGAATTGAACAAGTTTGGGGTTAGTTACAAGGGCAGTAACATGCAGTTATGCAAACACAGTATCTGAGGAAGATTGACTTCTCTGAAATAATTAGTCTTCATAGCAAGTCAGAGATACACAAGTTCCTCATCTTTCCGTATTTGACGTTTCAGCTAATGGAAATGACCAAAGGAAATACATTGCATTTAATGAGTTACAATGTTCAGCATCTCCATTAATTGGCAGGATTCACAGTTTCCATTTTATATCCACTATGACTTCATATCTGATGAAGTTCTTTCACTATTGATGTTTCTATTTTAGGGACTAGAATGCTGGATACGTGTGCTCACACAGTGTCAGTTCATGGTAAATGCCAGAGCAAGGAGTAAATTTTAACTTATTAATACACTTCTCTGATTAAGTGCTCAGCTGATTTTTTCCATGTCACATAATAACAGACTTAACACCATTTTTTTCTTAAAGTATTTCTTTATCCAGTCAAGAAGTGGAAGAGTGAGAAGAGCAGGGAAGAATATAGGGACTGATGGATTTTAAGTAACTTCTTAAGCAGAAAAAAAACCCGCTAACTCATTCTTTTTGAGACCTAAGATCAATTTAAAAAAACAAATCAAACTTGGACTGACCTGCTGGCAGCTTTATGAGTGAGTCCTGGAGGACAAGTATTGTTAATATTCACAATAATCCTTAAAGGAGTTAAAGTCATTTAGCAAAGATAGATTTTAAAAGTCACAAATGCCTCTAAACTCTCAAACCTTTCAGATAAAACCTTTCTTCTCTCAAGACATCAGGTTTGCCTCCACAGTGTTGTCACTATGCAAACTGTTATTAATCTTATAAAGGATGTTTCCAATGTAAATAAGAAATGCCTTGTATCTCACAATTTTCAGTCCCTCTCTAAAACCACAAGATAAGAACGCCATTTTTCCCTTGCTGTATGAGGACCCAAGTCCATAATTCTCAAACCAAAATCATCTGTTAGGTGAGTCTTTTGGATGACCACTGCAGTAAGTTAGAGAAAATCCTAAAGCTAAATAACTTAACATCTAAAAAACATCATGAAAGACTTTTTTTCTCCTTTTAATGACCTCTGTATTTATTCAAATAGCTAGTAAATGCTCCTTGAACAAAAACCCACAAGATAAAATAGGTCCTCCTCTAAGCTAAGAGATCAATGTAGGCAACCAGGGAGTGGTGGCAGGAGTAGTAAGAAAAGCAGAGTACAGAATCCAGCTTGTGAAGAAGAAATAAATGGCAGGTTCAGGTGGGGAAGGCTCGTGCTTTCAGAAGCAAGAACAAGGAAATGAAATACAATTTTAAAGATGATGCATAGTCCAAAAAGGGACTCGATAATAGTCAATCTGAACACCGTTTATAAAAGAAAAGAAGATATGTAACACAACTGTAGATTAGGATAAGACAAAACATTATGGAAATCCAGAATATTCAAGGCTCTGCGGGATGCTAGAAGGGAGAATCCAAAGCCCCAACCAAAACTTTGACAAGGAGAGGTGAAGAAGGCACCTTACAGAGAAGTCAGTTCAAGTAAAAATGGCACTTCAATGTCAGTGTCATCATGGTTTTAAGGTAAGTACAAACAGGTTCACGGAGACACCAAGGAGAACTTTTCAGAGAGTGTTAAGTCTAGACAGAAAGCCTTATTTCAGATACCATAGAATCATAGAATCGTTAAGGTTGGAAAAGACCCTTAAGATCATCAAGTCCAACCGTTAACCTACCACTGCCAAGTCCACCACTAAACCATGTCCTTAAGCACCACGTCTATCCGTCTTTTAAATACCTCCAGGGATGGGGACTCAGCCACTTCCCTGGGCAGCCTGTGCCAGTGCCTGACTACCCTTTCGGTGAACAAGTTTTTCCTAATATCCAACCTAAACTTCCCCTGGTGCAGCTTGAGGCCGTTTCCTCTCGTCCTATCACTTGTTACTTGGGACTACTGACAAGGTGAACTGAAGTGTTCCAAACGAAAGAGTACTCTGACACTGCCCCAAACAGATCTCCTCTTGGTTTAAAACAGAGAGTGCCTAGCTTTTTAGATACATTCTTTAGTCTCTGAAGGAAACGTTAGTTTTGTTTCACTGCTCACATATTATTTTCTTTTCATTCTAAATGTATTTATACTATTCACAATGACAATTTAAGCTACTGTTGGAAGGAAAGTGTATTTCACACTGCTGCATGTCTCATTACTAAACAAACTGAATATAATAATACAATTTAGCATACAAACAGTTATTTCTAACTAGAATGAGCCAAAATTTCCCATTCAGACTATATAGCTTACATGCCACATTTAAAACTAAAATTAAAAGAAAAAAGATGGATCTTACTCATTTCTTCCACACCAGAAACTGTACTTCAAAAGGGGGATGAGTTGGGTGATTTATTCTCACACAGTTGGTATTGTAGAAAACAGAAAGGTTTGTTTCACTTTGTTTTTTGCTCAAAGAGAACTCTTCACTAAACCCAGACTACAAGTTTCAGACCTTTTCCACAAAGTAATGGATTCAAATCATTAATGCAAAAATGAGAGAGATGTTTAAATAGCCACATACAATCCTGACTAAAAACATGTGAAATGTTTAATTAGAAGAAATATGCAATATAAAAGGCTCAAAAGAAGTTGCACGTGAGGTGAAATTAGTTGGTCAGTAAATTATTGCTTGTGGACCGAATTCTAGATAGTGTTACTATTTAAAGAATACGGTACAATAATAAACACTATTACAAATCTCAGTTTAACAAACGATAATAACAACAAAACCCACATGTAGAAAACAGATCTGAGAGAAAAAAGGATGCTTGTCCTGTTTTCCTCACCTCAAAAACGATGTAAGTTCTGTTTCAAGACACTGCATTTTAAGCATAGGAATCCCCCCCCGCCCCCGAAACACTGGATTGAGCATAAGCAGTTTTAGCACAGGCAATACTTTTAACCATACTTTGCATTTCACCCACCAGCTGAAATGGATATACTTCACCTGAAACTATTTCAGTGATCCAACTTTGCTTCCAATGACTTTCCTGACTTATTTGATAGAATATGTCAACTTATAACAGTGAACATTTCTAAATACTTGTATGCGCTTGAGTTTTATCAGATTGAACATATTTTCCAACTAAGAAACTTCCCAGATGAAGAATGATACTTACCTGCTCATTCATGCCATCATCTTTAAAAGAATATTGTAAACAGTTTTTACTCTCTGTGTGAAAATCCTGATCTTCCTCAAAACTACTTGTATCTTCATCATCTGAGCTCATGGGGTCAGTGACTGCTTTGCAGTCTTGACCAAAACTCTGTGGTTTTTGGTAACTGTGCTCACTTGTGATGTATGTTTCTTCCATCTTCTGGGGTATACTGGGCGGCTCTTTATGGTTTTGACTGTGACACGTCCTTTCAGTTGGATTAACAGCATCCGGCAAGGTCACTAATTTTTTCTCTACCCCAACAGTTAATTGTTCTTGTTCTTTTCGCATCCCTGAATAAGCCCAGAGATGAAGGTCTGGGTGATGCTTATTTCTGCAACAAAGGGAAGGGGAAAAAAGCAAGTTATAGAGAATACCACTTACACCACTGAACTGTTAAGCATCCACTTCTGCTAGATCACAGCTACTGATAAGCACGATTATCAAACATGTAAGTATTTCTAGGTCACTTCTCAATTTAGGATAAATCCAGAATGTCCCTTTAACAGAAAATTGACTAGAAAAAAAAATTTAAAAAATCACCAATAATCCCAATATACCACATCCACTCAGGTGCTGACCACCTACCACCCACTGAAGCAGAGGGTACTCTACATCTTGCACTTGAATTTTTTAAACTACTGTACAAGAAAGAACTTTAATGTGAGAGAATAATGCATATGGAATAATGGTAGTTTCTGCTACCCAAATATAGAAAGATGGAGAATAAACCGTGGACCGATACTTACTTTAATATCCCAATCTTCAACTGCAGTCCATGCAATATTTCAGTTACACCATATACATCTGCCAGTAGGTGATGTGTTGACACAATCTTTTTGGCATTAAGATGAGAGTAGTTTTCTTTCAAAAATGATAATCCACACATGTGTCCGTTGTTTAGCCAGTCTTTATCATAAAGATATTTGGCACTCCACCTCTGACCTGGGGTAAGCAATAAACAAATTGAGGGCCATCTAAAGCCACAGCAGAATTGTATTTAAAACTAGAGTGCTATAATTATATGCTGTACTCTTCTAAATGTCTCCTAACATCCATGAAAGAATGATTCAAGGTCTTGCTATTAATATATTAAAATTTAGTTTTCATGGATTAGGAGGAAACTCTTAAACACTTATGAAAACAAAAATAAACCTGAAATCAAGACCTCTCTAAATGGCATTTGAAAAGAACATCTAATCACCTTTGCAATCAATGTACAGGATATTAAGAACTGTGCTATTATCAATCTCACTGCAAAAAATGTTTAAATTGGCATTTTATTTATCTAACTACTGCAGCTTACTTTTAAGAAAAAGAAAACCTAAGTTACCAATAGAAATGTTAGAGACTGGATTTTATATGGACATATCCAAAACACCTAGTTTGTTTCCAAAAGACAAGTATTTTGCTTTAATACTGAAGACAATATCTATTTATTATAAGCCAGGACAAGGCTTCATGAAAAGCAGCCATTTCAAAGTTATCGACAGCAGAGTTCTTACTCTCTCCTTTGAGGTGCCTTTTACCAGACACTACTAGACAGGATACTGATGTAAGTGGGCCTCAGGTCTCCCATGCTATGGCAACATCTACAATCTTAACCCAACAGGCATGAATGAGTATTTAGCTAATGCTTCTATAGTAACTAAATAACTATTTAAAAAAAAAAAACAAAACAACAACAAAACAAAACAACCCAAAAAAACCCCAAACTAGAAATGTATAATGCTGATTATTCCAATATTATTGTTTACAATGAGGAACCCAGACAAACAGACTGACTAAGACCGCAATATCTTACACTCAATTTCATATCAGACTATCATCATATACAGAACAAAGAATGGGTTGATGGAAGCCCTTCATACCTTTCAGGAGAATACCCTGTCTATCTCCTTTCTGCCCATTATCCCAATACACTTTAAAATACTGACATTGTGAATGACTTTTTTCTCCTGACATAGAAAGAAAAGAAGTAATGGTTAGGAAGGGAGAGAAGATAAAAATTAGGGACACAGTCTCTGCATAGCAGGGGATAACGAAGTACCTAGTACAGTGCAGGGAAAGAACACAAGACAAATTAGTTGGCTTTAATAAGAAAAAGCTTGACTGCTTAAAGAGTACACCACACAGAACCATCAAACAAGACTCTGTACCAACAATTTAGATTCAGATTGGGGCAAATGGGAAAAATATCACATCTTTCCAGCTCTATTTTCCTAAATTTTCTTCCCAAAAATAACTAATAAAAACTGTGTTATTTTATACCTCTGCAAACAGTTTCCAGGTTTTATTTCTTAAATTCAGAAAGAAAGTAAAGTTGGGGGTGTAGTCTCATTGCCCTTTTGAAACAGCTGGACTGTTGGATATTTCACCAGAAGACAGGTATGTGTGTTTGTATCAAATGTCAGGAAAAATACTAAAAACTTTCTTCCAAATTGTATAGTTTTTTTCCAAATAACTCCTAAGAAAAATGCATTTATGGACAGAATCATTTTTAAATCAACATCTTCCTAATCATATGTATTCATTTTAAAAATAAATAGACTTTCCCTAAGTCTTACCATTTCAAACTTATCTTAACAATTTTAAGTTCAAGATGTGCTTGTTTGTGCACTATCGTTTACCATAAAAAGTGATAGATTTTTTCATATTTTATATATTCAGTTCCACACCTTCATTTACACAATTCTGGACAAACGCAAACATTATAAAATTGCAATTAATATGAAATGACATCCACAGCATATCTGAGTGTACAATGGTAATAAGTTCTTTTTCTCTAAAAAAAAAAAAAAATAAATTTAAATGAATAGATGTGATTCCAAGTATAGGCAAAACAGATCACTGAACAAGAATGATTTGTTTAGAAAGACTTTTTAGACTACAATGACATGAAAAAGTGCTAAGGTTGCAGGGGAATTAAGCTTCAACAACTAAAGCGATGGTAATTAAGATCATGAATAAGATTTAGCATAGCTGAAGAAGATGTTACTAACAGGAAAGTAAGTTTCTGCACAGAGCCAAACTTAGAATCACTTGCCCCAAAGAAGTGTAACAGATAACACAAAACAGACAAAGCTTTAACAATTTAAGGAATGTATAACATCTCTGCTTAAAAATCCCAAGCAGACAGCTGCAGATAAAGGTGGTTTACCCGTACCTGGTGGATCTCTGCAGATATAACAGATGTACTGCTCTGGAATGCTGTCCTCTAACAGTCCCATGCATACACTGTGCTGCCAACACAAGCACTCTTCACACTGGCATCAGAAAAAAATAAAAGCAAAAACTAAAACTGAGATAAGTAGATTCAAAAATCAGAAGCTATTTCTTGCATCATCAAAATGCAGAGAACAGCAGTTTAACTTAAATAGCTGGTTTGAGTAAGATTATCTTAGTTGGGCAATTTGTGTTTGGGTAGGCAAAGACATCAAGCTAAAAAATAGCTCTAGTTCTGAAAGTTACCTCAACCACAAATTCCAGACTGGGAAAAAAAAAAAAAGAAGAAATTGAAGATGTAATATTTAATAATATTTTATTACAACATTCAGTATTTTAGCACCTAAATATTTAGTAGTGAAACATAAGACAGAAGTATAACATTACAGTAAAGTAGAAAGATAATGTAATACATTACAGCATAACAGTGAAAAGTAGAAAACTCTTCAGTTTAATTATTTATATTTACAAAGCATCTCTCCAGTGCGCTAGAAAGATGTGTTTTTAATATCGCACCAATGGAAAATCTAAAAGAAAAAGAAAATGAAGAGAAAATGAAAGAGGAGAAACAAGAGAATAGGAGAGCAAAATAGAAGTGGTAAGACATGAGGGCCTAGAAACAGCAAACTGGCCACTCTCAGTAGACAAGGTATGAGGAGGAAAAGTCAGGCTGTAAATGGACAGGTAGAAACTACCACTTAAAAAAATACATTTTCCCTTCTCAACTCAGCGATTGCCTGTGTTCTAAATATCTGCTGTTTTACCACTGAAAGTCTCTCCTCTTCGCTTTGACATGCTTTTGAGCATCAACCTATTCAAAACACTGAAGTCACCTTTCCTCTTGTCATACCACTATGGCTACAACTTCCTCTCCTCTCTCCAAAGATTTCTACACCAGTCCGTTTTTCCACGTTATTACCATAGCTGAACTCCTACTTAGTTCCTCCAACACAGCACAGCATTTCAGTAATGTGTTCCCAGGGACAGTCTTCGTGTCCTTCATTTTCAGGTCTTTCTGTCATTTCCAGAAGACTTTACATCCATTAACACAGGACAGTCATACTTGCTTCCTTCAAAACTCAACTAAAAAGGCTCCGTATTTTCAGCAGAAACTGTACCACATTAATAGCTGAATACAAACCTGTTTTTTGAGTGAGGAAAAAAACACAGGAAGTTCATTGCTGTTTTAAAGTTTTTGACAACTGAGTTCTTCCTCACTGTTGCCTGCATCTGATCTAATCGCTATATTACGAATTCCTTGAGACAAAGACGTTAAATTATTCATTACTAGATCGGAAATGCTCCCCTCATCGGAGTACAAATAAATAAGCAGCAGTAGTTGCAATCCATCAGCACCTGAATGCCGTGCAGATGCTGTATACTCTTCTACCCTTTTTTCTATACCAAGTAAGATTTAAATTCTTAGCAGTTTCTAAAACCAGCTAGTGATTTCTAGTTTGAGAACTGCTGTTCTAAAGATGAAGCACGCACATCACACACACATCACAGTTACTGACGATATTAACGTCTGTGTAGCAGAGATCTTGAATACAGCTGAGGTACATTTACAGTGAGTAGAGTGGTATCTGCAATTGGTACTGCAAAGCACAAGGGACAAACCAGAAGGGCTGGTATAATTGGGATGGTCTGTGGACAGAAGCGATGATTTGTGTGCAGGAAAGGATACTTTATTCCAAATTTATCAGTTAGCTATAAAGAAAAATGTTACCTTTCCGTACAAACCTGTTCTACATATTGATTTGTTAGAGAAACCCCATCCTAGAATAAGTTCTGCATACACCGAACAGTCACGCCAAGTGCAGAACATAGAAATATTTTGTAATTGTTTACTTTTATTTACAGCTCTCTACATAACTTTGGTCTCCAACACATCAAAAGGGTACCTTCACAAGCAAGAAATTCACACTGAAAATATATCCACCCCCAAATTTCTTTACCTGAATCATAAAGCCATTTTCTTCATCCAGTTCACAAATGCATCTAACAATTTCATTGAGAGCATCATCTTCATCCTGAGACTCTTCAAAGTTAGTTGAATCAAAGTCCTGATTGTATTCATCACCACTAAGTAATAAACTCTCTGTAGAGGAATCATCCAAGAACTCCACATCTGAAAGGTCTAGTAAAAATAAATGCATGTGAAATTGTGTGTGCAGAGATGCAATGCTTTACAGAAATACAGGTTAAAAATCTTAACCTGCATAGAGCAAAAAATCGCTCTTGAACACATTGCTGGTATATTAGATTTCTTGACAAATTCTGCAAAATGCCTTTAATGTGATCTCGGAAGCAGAGTAGCAACACTTAACCAAAGCAAGTACAATGCAGAACAGCTTGAGGAGCGTAAGCATTTTGATTTAAATAGATGAAGCATAAATCAGTCACCATATTTATAGCTACAATCTCAAACACAAACTAAACTATTTCCTGTAAAATTCTCCTTCTTAAAGAATTAATCCTACAAACTGGAAGTTGCTGTTCAGCCAACCTACTTTCTCCACTAAGGTCAACAGACAAGATAGCTCTCGGATACTGGTATGATGTATTCTTCTCTGAGAACATGCTGCGCAAAGTCAGAGAGCTCCCCGAGGACCGTGTTAACGGAGAGGAGCACCTGTCCAGGAATTCCACAGAACTATCTTCATAGTCTGAATAATCTGAAAAGTTAAAAGACAATAAGTTGCTGTTACAAAAATCAAGAAAAGTTTATGACAAATACAAAAAAAAAAAAATTTAAGTATACTGCAACATTATATTCAGAAGTAAAGAATATCAACATTGAGGTACTAGGATGACAAAACTGCAAATATGAAGTGGGAAAAGCTCTTCGTAACATATTTTATCAAAAAATTTCCAGTAAGAAACAATGAAGTTTAATAGCTAAGACAAGCATTACCCATTTAACTCCCTCCCCCAATCTCTGAATGTACAGAGGCATAATTTTTCCTAGAACATTATACAGTCTTTTTTTTCCCCCACAGTTCATCCTGTACCATCTGCTACCCTTAGAGATGCTGCTGGTAGCTCTCTCGTTTTGCCTTGGGTCTGTTTGGAGCACTACCAACATTGCTACCTAGAAGTAACTGCAGACTGTCCTGCCAGGTTAAGTGATAACAGCTTGTCTGCAGACCTGCAGAGGAGCACAAGGAGCCCAAAGAAAACCCTCATGGGATGCTCTCAGGCCCATCCCAGGAGCCATCAGCCATTGATGGGCCAATGGCTCCTGGGATGGGCCCAGGAGCATTATAGAATCATTTAGGTTGGAAAAGACCTTTAAGATCATAGAGTCCAACCGTAAACCTAACACTGCCAAGTCCACCACCAGGCAGTCCACCACTGCCAAGCATCCCAGTAGGGTATGCACAAGCCCAGAGGAACACGATGGGCAGGCAAACAACAAACACCTCCTGCCCAGGCCCGTCCCAGGGCTGTCCCAGCAGCGCCATCACCCCCATGATCCAGGCGTGAAACCCAGAGTAGCTCTCTGAATAACCTTTTGGACGAAGCGGGGGTTGCAGCCAAGGGGTGGGATGTAGGAGAAAATCATTTTGGGATTGCATGAGACTTATTATGGAATGTTTAGGGAAGGAACCAAAGGTGGGGAAAATGGACAGACCTAAGTGATTTGGGGAGGAACAAGTGTGGGGACAATAGAGGAATAAGGGGACAAAAAGGGCCAGTCATGCATAAACAGTTTGCTGGTCATGCCCTGCATCTGATGAGCACAGTTTGTCCTACCTGTGCTGGCAGGGGTGGTGGAATCTCCCTCCTTGGAGATATTCAAAAGTCATCTGGATGTAGTTCTAGGCAACTGGCTCTAGGTGGCCCTGCATCGGTAGTGGAGTTGGACCAGAGGGACTCCAGAGGTCCCTCCCAACCTCAACCATCCTGTAATTCTTATTAAACCCCATTTCTAACTCTTACCCAGGTGAGAGGCTCTCTATTCCGTGTGCAGGTGTGTGCATGGGGGGACTGAGTACCAGCAAATGGAGTCAGACCATGGGTTGAAGGGCCATGCACCTGGAGAGACTGGGGCGAGTGACTGAAGTGCCACCCACTTGCGAGGGATCTCTGGTCACAGAGGCCCATGAGTTCATGCTGCAGCACCTAGAGCCAGTGCAAGTGTCTGATTGCTAGCTGAGATCAAGCTGGACCAGCCGGTGAGCAGGGAGTGAGTGGGTCTGCAAGGGCCAGCTCTGGGTGCGAGTGACTCTCTAAAGGTGAGAGCCAGGAGGGCTACTGGGATCCGGGGAGTCCTGGCCAACTCTGGGAGTACGCAAGCATGCACTGAGTGAGATGGTCTGTACTGCAGTGGGGCCGTGGCCCCGGGGGCTTGTATCTCCAGGTGCCAGCAACTGGGAAGACTGGGATCGAGAGGCAGCTACTGGGCAGACAGTGTCTGAGCCCAGCTGCTGGAGGGATCCACACTGTACATATATATATATTTATATATATATATTCTCAGTAGTGGGCCCCCATCCTGCTCAGCCAGATTGGGGAGCAGGATGAGGCTGTTAGCACGTGCACAAAAGCACAGACAGCACCATGTGCTTGTGCCTACTGGTAATACAGCAGTATTGACATTTATATTGATACCAGCATGATCTATTTTCCTCTAACACATACTCTTTGCAACAGTCTCAAGGAACACATTTGCAAGCCTGTCCTTAATCACAGTGACTGGAGAGACTGTCTCAGGTAAGTCACAGAATCACAAATCGTAGAATGGTTTGGGTTGGAAGGGACCTTAAAGATCATCCAGTTCCAACCCCCCTGCCATGGGCAGGGACACCTTCCACTAGGCCAGGTTGCTCAAAGCCCCATCCAACCTGGCCTTCAACACTTCCAGGGATGGGGCAACCACAGCTTCTCTGGGCAACCTCTTCCAGTGCCTCACCACCCTCATAGTAAAGAGTTTCTTTCTAATATCTAATCTAAATCTACCCTCTCTCAGTTTAAAACTGTACCCCTCGCCCTATCACTACCCTCCTTAATAAAGTCCCTCCCCATCCTTCCTGTAGGCTTAAGTACTGGAAGGCCACTGCAAGGTCTTCCCAGAGCCTTCTCTTTTCTACACTAAACAGCCTCTCAGCCTGTCCTCATAGGAGAGGTGGTCCAGCCCCCTGATCATCTTCATGGCCCTCCTCTGGACCCGCCTGAGCAGGTCTATGTCTGTCTTATGCTGGTCAAATGGTAATTAAGAGCAGCTATCCATTTACTCCTCTTAAAACTTACCACTTTGAATATAAGTGAGTAATCAGGATTTCTATACTTCCATCCTTCTGTAGGAAGAATCCTGCTACAACCTGTATCTACATTTTTCTTGCAATGGGTACCACAATATGCTTCTCTCCTAAATACCTTCCATAAAGCCACTCTTCATATTTACTTTCTCCTTCTGTCAAAACCACACTATCTACACATTTCCTATACTCACTGTAGAGGAGTCAACTCAATGAGTAGTTGAGTTGACTACTTCATGTTGTATTGCTATCAATCTCACTGTAACAGAACAGTATAAGTAACAGAAATTACCTACCTTCTGTGTTACATGGGTTTTATATGAACAGTCAATCATGCATATATGCAGAGCACAAAAAAAAAAAAGGTTTTGTTGCTGTTTTTTTGTTTGTTTTAAAGCCTTGCACAAAATTTGTCTGGAGCACACAATGTGCCTGCTCCCTCTTCTTCCCCAAGATGCCTCAATTTGATTGCAAAGGAACGAACCATGCCTCACACCCTTTCATTTCTGCCCATGCTCTGAAACTAGAGTGAGCTAGTCCTGGAGAAAGAAAAGACTGCTTCTTTTGACAGATCATTTTTCAGTGGGCTTTTTCAGGGTCAGACACTGGAGTCAGAATCTGCCAAAGCATCCTTCTCTTTTGCCCAGTTAAAAAAAAAATATCCAGACAGAATACCTCTGGATTTCTAAAAACAGATTTTCACAAGATGAATTTGCAAAGAATAAAATGCTCAAGTTTTACTCACATTGCTTTCTGCATCTGGATTTAAGATTTCTATTTGTTGGGGCATCGGGAGATATATAGATTTATCCTAATATTTACAAGCATTGGATATGGCCCCTAGGAGTTGGGACCTAATTGTGGTACCCCTGCCAAGCTTCTAAGTTTCAAGACAAGTTGGCAAAAAGACTAAAGGAATAAAAAATAAGAAAAAAAAAAAGCTAACACCGTAACAAACGACCTCACGACCTCAACAAGATAAAACCAAAGAACAATACTGGGCACAAGAACACACCTCTGATGTTAATTTGCATGAGGTACTCTATTTGAATCAATCTGGGTGAACAGGGTTTGCAGAACCCACTGCATGGCAGAGCAGTATGGAACCAGAGAACCAAGTGTACCCCAGACAGTGTGAAGCATTAGACTTTCTGATCTCAAGCACAGTGCTTTGCAAAAGCAAAGTATCACATGCTCAGATGAGAGCCACCGGTCTGACCAGCTCCTCCCAAACCTCAATTGTGCACTACATCAGCCTTTTCTGACAACTCATCTAAATTCCAGGATTCAACACCAAACATGAGAGAACTTCTCAATTTACCTTTTTCTTTGGAAATTCACGAAACAGAAGGGCTCAGGGAAATACCGTGTAAACATTTCCCCATTACAAAATATACATTTGTATTTTTGAACGTATTTCAAATCTGTAGCTGTTGTTGCATTTTATACACTAAACCACTGAAATTTAGCAACAGATTAGATTCTAGAATAATTTTCATGTCCAAGCAAAATAAGTAGGATGTGTATACAGAGCTTCAGATGAAGAATTTGAAGAGATAAGAAGAGCAAGCATATCTTTTGAAGGAAGAAAAAACATCTATGAAATATCTACCACACAGAGACAGGCTATTAGTACAAAAATGAGGTCACAGGCCTAAGTGTCCTTTCAACATTTAAGGTCAAAACGCATTCTTTGAAATTTCTAAAATTTGACATTTGTATTGTTTAGAAACAAGTTTTAAATCTAATGACAGAAATACACTGAGTGGTTTTGCTTACGTAAAAAAACGTAAATTGAACTTACCATGCTGTTTAGATTTCTTCTTTTTTTTCTTCTTCTTTTTTTGTTTTGATTTATGATCTTTCTCCTTTTTCTCTTTTTTCTCCTTTTCCTTTTCTTTCTTTTTACCTGAAATAAAAATTAAACATTCTAAAACAGCAGTACCATTCCAAATTACCTGCTTCATTCGGCTTGATTTTTGAACGTGATGTTTACATTAAGTATTCAGTTGCCTAGTCAGATCAAAATGATTCAGCTAATTTACTTGGTATCTTGGGCATGTCTCCCATTAATTGCTGGTAGAACGGTACAAAGGAACCTCTCTCAACAAATAACATTTTACCATTTTAAGTATTTCTAAACAAGGTATAATAGCAGAAGAAGATAGAGCAAAGCACACAAAATAAGTGGCATTATTTAAATAGCTTGTAACACCTAATTTAATTATGGCTTATAACAGAAAGGTTTGGGCAAGAGAAAAAGCTTTCATAAGTGCAAAATTCCAAACTAAAAAGATAGCATCATCATAAAAACACATATTAGGCCTACAGAAAGTCATCTGAAGGAAATTTCAGTATCCCAAAACTGCTGGTGCTGTTTCAGCACTTTCTACTGTGTAGCAACATCCTCACAGAAAACTCATTCTGACTAAAATTTATGATACATTTTTTACACTGCGGTTCACTTCTAAGCACTGTTGGTATACGCCCGAGGACAAGTACTTTGCCTCAGAAAAACTCTATTTGTCTTGTTAAATCTCCCCAGACAAAATATATCCCACAATATTGTCACTCCATAATCACTTTCTAAGCAATCAGCAGTGAGATAAATAACGAGGAAATTGACTTGTTACAGAAAATAAATTATTAAAGTCAGTATTTAAGGATTGTTTCCTGCACACAAATGGGAGTCTTATTATCTTCTTGGGGAATACAGCAACAGAACTTTTACCTCCTGGAAAAACAACACAGAATCACTTATGAATTCTCATCCATCTCTAATATTTTTTTCTTTAAACACAGGATAAAACCAAATCCCTCTTAGTTTATATTTTCTTTCAAGAATTGCCAAATGTTTTGCTAGTAACACTTAAGCGTTTTCTTCTCCCCCACCAAATTGGTCAGTACAAGGAAATAAAGGCAGTATCACTAATTCAACTAAAAAAAAAACCCAACTTTTTTTTTTTTCAGGCCTCTCATAAGTACTTTCAGATCCTTCCAAATCCTTGCTGTGGGCACTTCCATTTTCTCTTATAAAATTATTCTTCTACTATAAACTTGTCATATCTATAAAAAATGCTTTTAAGACCTAAACAAACAAAAGTGCAGCTGGGCCCAGGAAATGTTTTACATTTTTACATTGGCTCTTCAGAGACATCAAGTGTTACGGAATTTTTCCTTTGTTCCTAAAAATATTATTGCTCTGTACATACCATATGTTGAAGAACTTTTCTCTTCCAGTTTTCCTTTTCTTTCCATTCTCACTGCACCTGCAAATTGAAGAATATATGACATAAGCGCAATGTCTGGCTGATGATCCACTTTCTTGTAAAATTCATTAGACTGTAAAAAGTCCTAATGGTACATAATAAGAAGAAACATACAAACATTACAATTATTTTTAATGTCACTTTACGATTATTTTTATTGTCTAAAGCACTGGAAACAAAAAGTATTGTAGTTTACCAACTTCTGAATGCTTGTCCTTCTCAATCACGTTCTTTAATATTTTCTCCTTCAGACTCTCAAAACATTTCTCCTTTATGGGCACAGAGCACTGTATCTCTGTCCCTTCAGAGCTCACTGATGTGGAAGACCTCTTTTTTTTACTATTCCCTTTGGGTAACTTTAGACTATTGGTTAAAGGCATTTCCAGATGCAAGGCATGTACATGGGACGAGGGTGCTGAAAACAAGAAGACAGATTTACTAGGCATTCCGTAAGGATTGCAGCCAGATCACTGGCTGGGTCAGATCACTGAAATGTCAAGTATTGGTAATAATGTCATCACACTTAACATATCATTACTGCATATGGATGCCTAGGTCTTAGTCTTACATACAGGACAATACATGCCACAAAAAGTTTCTTTGTTTTGGAATTTGCACTCACTTTTAAACTACTGGTACTGTTTGAAGTGTACTTTTGCTGCTACTTTTAAGCCTTTTTGTTTCCTTTTTACTTCACCATAATAGAAACCCCCGTCAACAGTAAGGGTTAAAGGTACTGACATTGTCAATATCATTTAAGGTAACATTCCATTATGTGAACAGAGAAATTAAGCTCTGGTACAACATTTTTAGTGCTACGTATAAAATTTACATTTCTTCTTATTGCATTTTTCATTGATTTTAATAATATTTAAATCACTCACTGTCTTTCATGCCTATATTTAATCCACATTTGAATGACATGCAAAATACTGCGATAATTTGTCAGAATTCAGCATCATATACTGACAATTCTTATCTTGCACTATTCAGAGAAGTTTATTCAGTGAAACACTTAGTTGGTTTTTAATCTTTACCTGATTAACTGCAAATTAGGAAATAACATGGCAAAACAAAACTCAAATTATAATTTTCATTGCTAATATTTATAATCAAATAGGACAATGGAATTTTCAAATAATAAAACTAGAACATAAGTTATTTATAAAGAACATTATTGAGGTCATTTAAAACTCTATTACTGTGTTCATCAATATTGTGAGAGCTTTAAGCTTCACTTAAATGTAATTAGGAAAGTCTAATCTTCATCAGACCATCGAGGACATGTCAGGACCATGCCAAGGACACACTGTACAAAAATACAGCTCTACAAAGTCATAAGGGGTTCAGGTTTTTCGATGCCAGCTGTAAACACTTGGAGGCACCAGTCGCCTTTAGTGTCTCTCAGCATATGAGCCTAACAAAAGTATCAGCTGTAAAAAACACTTGTGGGTTAAAGTGCTGAACCAAAAAAAAAAAAAAAAAAATCCTGAAAAATATCTGCTAGTGGTCAAGATATTAAACAAGACCAAATACGAAGCAGATCTGGAATGGGTTCTTTGACCTGCCCCCCCCCCCCTTTTTTTTTTTTTTTAAATTATTCAGTAATAAAACAACAAAAAGCATTTAAATAAGCAGTGTTAAGATATTTTAGTAAATTCATCAGGCATAAAAGGATTCTGGAGAAGAGGCAAGGTCAGGGTTGAGGCCGTAAAGCAGCCTTCCAGGCTGGGACAGACCAACTCAATTCTACTACAATATAACACACACGTTACATGGAACTTACTCCAGCTCCTAGGCAGCCTTCTCAGGAAAACAGTCAAAATGCCAGAGTGAGAAAGCCGCAGGTGCAGAAAGAGCAATAGCAAGTAGCGTACCACCTACCACACCACACAGCACTTCTAAATGCCAGATGTCCCCAGCTGCAAGATGCAAGACATCACCATACCACGCAACCTAGCCAGGAGCCAGAACCAACTGTTCAGTTCTGCGTGCTGGCTTCTAACACAAGCTGCATGACCACGGCAGAGGCTACCTGAGCCTTTCCACTACGTCAAATCAACCGTCTCACGTAAGACCAGAATCCCTTCATGACTGGTCTACTATTCAGGCTCTTGCCTTTGTCTGTATTTCAAGTGGACTTAGCTCGCTGGGATACTTATCATCGACACAAAACGCAATCCAAATTATTCCTTTCTTGGGTTTCCTAATTAATGTTTGTCTCTGTTACAGGACTGAACTGCTTTGCCATCTGTGGAGCAATGAGTATATTTTAGCACCTCAGTAAAAGAAAAAAGTGACACTTCTCCACATCATCATGCTATCAACATCTTGTCTTGTTTCTAAAAAGAGCACAAAAGGATCACCCAAATGCACATAATTTGGCTAGGTCACTGCCATTTTGATGAAAAGATGTGAGAATACTCCATCCAAATAAGCTCAAGAGAAATTTAGTCTCAATATTAGATGAATTAATATTTAAACTTCATTATTCAGACGAAATCCTGACCTCAGACATTCAAACGTGCTCTGCTATTGATAGCCACAACACAAGAAACTTCAGTGTCTCAATAATTTTCAACACAAGCGTATCTGACAAAGTAATCAGCTAGTAACTAAATAACTGTTTGAGGGAACATTTATCACAGGCAGAAACCTGCTACAGTTGCACAAATATCCATCTCAATGACAGAGCTCTCCAAACTGCCTTTCTATAGTAACCTGAAGAGAGAAATTACTATTATGCTTGCATACACTGCAATGTTATTCTTGGCTTTTACTTTTGTTAATCAGAAAATATTCCAGATTGAGAATCCCAAATTCTTAAATCCTAAATAAAGTGTTAAGGTTTGCAAAGCCTAATTTTCAACTGTGCAATCATTATGCCTTACAAGTAACCACAAAATTAGACAAAGCATACAACCACAATCTGAAGGGCAAGGAACAAATACAGCAAGGAAAATATTAGTTTATAGAACATTTCCTTTATGGCAATATTACCGTATATTTTTTAACTTACTTTTAATTGCAATTTTATTCCTGTTGAGGAGTCTAGTCAGCCACCTCCCACACAGCAAAGCGTGGGAGGTCTGCAATTAACACTCAGCAGAGAGAAAGATGCTTAGAAATTAGACTTGATAAACTACTGATTATGTCATTGTTCTAAGATAAATTTTATCACCAGAAGACTGATGTCAGATCAAAAACAAATGCAAACCACAGCAATCTTCAGTCTGCTTTACGACACATTTCCAATGCTACCTCTCCTGGTCTGGCACGGTGACGTGGCACAAGCCCCTGCGTGCGAGCACAGGCGCAGAACACGATGCACAAGCGCAGCAGCACAGACGGGCTTTTAGTGGTACTGCTTATTTCAGTTCACCAAATTAAAATAAATTGTACCAATGTGAAGCGACTTATTTTGTTGCATGATATTCTATTCCATGGCTTTTGATGTTTCACATTTCCTAATAACAGAAATATCATCATCTGCATTAATATACAACTTAAATCATAACATGACCAGCATAATTCATGGTTCTATCATAATTAATATTGTGGTTTGAATTCCCTGTGCATAGGATGAATTTTATATCTAAATGCACTTTAAATACATATTGCAGATTAATACCAGATCCTGCACAAAATGGTCTTTTTAGGAAGAAGGACATGAAAGGTTCTTGCCTGCCTTCAGCTAACTACCCCAAGAATCAGCTGGGAAATCTAGGACAGAGATTAGAAGGGCAGACATTCAAATTAGGGAGTAAACCTGACTGTCAGTAGATGTTCGGAGTAAAACAAACAGCTGCAAAGTAACAAGAGCTTTAGGTCACTGGAGTCTAGATACCCCTTAAAAACAGGGTAACCAGTAACACTGGCAAGTGTTTATTAAAAAGCAACTGATCTCGTTTTCTGAAAATTTTGTACATCAGCCTTTTCTTGTTCCTGCTGCAGTAAATTGTTATCAATAAAATTATGTAAAAGCATACAATATTTTTTCTTTTAGCATAAGTGCAAATTTCTCCCATACAGTTAATCTAATGTTACCCTGCCTAGCAAAGTCATCTAGACTGAGCTAGAACAGGAAATAACAGCTAATGATAATATTGTTATATTACTATTATAAATATTACATTGTTATATTAGTAAATGTAACAATATTTTCCTTTTACTTAAATTTTAAAACCCAGATTGCTTTCTGAAATTATGTTTGCTCAATACATAACAGTTAAACTAACACAAATGGTGTAGAGTTACAGAAAGCAAGAAAAATGATGACGGATTTGAAGAAAATTACAACTACAGAAAGATCTGAACTTCATGTAGTCAGAACTGGAAAACTACAGTGCTTTGCCTGTATTCAGACTGACTGTGAATTTAAAGTCTATGAAAGGCTCAGTGACAAAAAGGCCAGTTATCTACATTTTAAGCAGTTTGACAAATGAAAGCAAGGATTCTTAGTTATGTGTGTACGCTATCAGGTGATCACAAGTAGGTCCATACACCAGTTTAGGCAAAGCAGTACCTCTGTTCAATAATTAACTGGTAGTGTACCAGTGTCTACCAAAGCGCACAGTGCTTCCATGTAGCCTGTGACTGACCACAGTGCCTTTGTGTCGCCTTTACGAAATTGCAAGTTGCTCGTTTTGAGCAATGGCTTTGAGAAGGACGTGTTAATACTATGAGTTGCCATTTATGCTTCTGCACTTCAGCGCACCTCATCCCTCCCCTCTGAAAAACACCAAGTTAGTATCTTTTGAATAAAGAAGTCATTAAAATGCATAATTTTCAAAAATGTATAATTATGTCTTCAATTGGAGCAACTGATAGCCCCCATCAGAAGTCTAAATTTCCAAAGCCAAAAATTGCATCTCTGGATCTAAAACAGTACAGCTCTTTTACAGAAGAATCGGTGACCATAATAGGCTGTTTTAGGCTAATTACCTCCGTAATTTCTGAAGCTATCTACAGTTATCTGCTTCAATGATTATGAAGAAAGCAGGTCCAACTTAACTGCACTTAGCAAATTCCATAGTATTGTCAATATCTAGAACACCAGATCTCTCCAGGCTGTGTCAATAAAATCTAAACAGCAGAAATATCATAAAAGGACATAGATTTAAAATAGGTCTTTCAGATTAAATAAAGCAGAAAATTACAGAATATCTGGATTTTACACCAGAGTTCTTAAATTGTAATGTACAGAGTCACAATGCATATGCTAAACAATGCAATATATTAAATTACGCTGAGGCAGACAGATATTCCTGTATAATGCAAATTAACTTCTCAATAATTTCAAGCATCGACAGGAATGAGAAAGGAAAGCTCTGGGCACCTCTCCTTTATATATTAGCTTGCCATTGTTTAAACAGGTTCATCAGAAAAAGAAAAGTAGTGATAAACAGAGTGGGTTCTATTCATTCTCCTGAAGCATGCAAGAATTTGGTGCAATTATGTGTGCTTAAGTAACATGACTTGAGAGTCTATGCTATTTCAAAAGCAAAAAGACGCCTTCTAAAGCAGAGAACACAACAAAAACTATTTAACAATGTAAAGTAACTCCAAAAGTTTCAAACTTGAACTTAAAAGCTACGTTTTTCTTTTTCTTCTATGAGAAGGATACAAGACAAACAAGTTTCACCAGAGTTAGAAGCCTGAGAAGAACTCAAAAGACATAAGAACTTCAGTTACAGAGTCCTAGAGATAGTACTGACAGAGGCAGCTAGCTCCAAAACTTTCTACGAAACCTCTGAATTAAAGATACCAAACATAGATTAGTCTTGCAGCCCACGAAGCTTATACTGCTCAAGTGGATGCTGGGCTGCATACGTCTGAAAACTTCTAACATTTGGACAAAAAGTCAGTATGAAAGCTCAAGACAGAGCTCTACTGCATGGAGGAAAACTGTAATACATGAAAATTAGGAGTAAAACCCAGGTCTGTACGGAAGGCAAAAAACCCAGAAGGTAGCTGGCAAATCAGTTCCTTGAGAGCTTTATAACTCTTAAAATTATGTAGGTTCAAAAAAGCTCCACTAAGCTTTAAATATAGTATAAACTGTATCCTGTAGCATAGGTTGCAAGTGCTTCCATCTTCCCACTCTGGAGCCACATAGTAATACCAGATAATTTTGTCAGGGAATGGTTTTCCCCGACACAACGTGTGTGGACATATTTTTGAGTCATAAAGGTGGCTATAAATGAAACACATTATTGCTGTAATTAGATTCAGCTGTGGCCAAGACCAAGCTCAACAAATACACAGGTACAAGTGTACCCGGGGATGCTGGGTTTAGAACCAGCTCACTCGGAGTCCCAGCCAGTCCCCTGACGGAAGCGGGCAACAAAACAAACACCCGTCAGCATTACCAGCTACACAGTAAGTGATCCAGAAAACAGATCAGAAAAGTCAGAAGTTAAATTCGGGTTTTAATAAACAAGAAACAGATGGTAATTGGAAGCTGTTTGTTTCTTTTACGATCTTATTCTATGAGTGGGCAAATACACATCTCCCAAAAACACTTCTTAGTGGCAGAAGTAATTTTCCCAGGAATCTGCTACTCGACTGTGCTGCAATGTATCAAAGGCAAACGAAGACTGCCACATGGTTTCACTCCAGAAATTAAGTAGTATTTTTAAAAGCCTAAGTGACAGCTCATTAGAAATTCTCATAGCCCTTATTTTGACAAATTAGTTTAAGAGAGTAATAGTTGGTTTTTTTTTTTTTTGAGAAAGGATAATTACAATCATCTATTTTAATCTACGCAATATTGATCCAAGAATCCTACCCAGCCTTTGCTACATCAGGTTAAATAGCTATGCTACAACTTGATGAAGCGATCACCTTACACTTTCAGCGGGAGCATGTGTGGGCAGACATACAAAAAGGGGCCATACATACTAAACAAAATGCTTCACTAACCTATTGAATACTGCAGCTATACTATTAGCTTAATGCAAAGTTGTTTGGGTTTTTTTTTCCCCTCCCCCTAAACACAACTAAGTTACAGTTTGAGTGCCATAATTATATATTTTAAGGTCCTCCCTTACTATCAATCACATTTACCAAAAACTTCCTCGGCAGAGTATAATAATTTGGTTTTTTCCTCCTCTTACTTTATTGAACAATTTTCTCATTTAAAAAAAAAAAGAAAAAAAAAAAAGGCTTGTGAGAGAATTCCTTCTTGGAAGCCAATTAAAAATGGTATGATACTCACCCACATAAAAGACTTATTTATGAAAGAAGCATATGGACACCTAACATACACTGGATGAAAACAACCCACTTTTTAAGGTCTGCAAACCACTATGCAAACCCTTCCCCAGATCTCTTAATTGCCTCTATCCAAGTGATTCACTTCAACCATGTTAGGCAGTAAACTGTTACAAAGTGAGAGGCAGCACAGAGCTCCGCTCTTGGGCTCTGTGCTAACTCTGCGAGGGTGAACCAAGTCTATGTAAGTTTCAGAGGATTTTTCAGAAATATTTTCAAGTAACATTTTGTAGCAAGCAAAGGACAAAATTTCCACTGCAAACAGAAGCAAAGGTAGAGGAATGCTGACTGCCTCGCAAAATGCTGTTAAGTTTTAAAGCTGAAGCCACAAGATCAAAGAGTACATCTAGATTTAGTATATATTAGTATGTTAGCAAACAGCTTCATAAATTACTTTTACAACTTTGAACAATATAAAATATTTTTGAAAGAAATACTGCTTTTTATATTCCACGCTCTCAGATCCTCCTTAAAGTGTGTTAGAAAAAGTGCTAACGCAGCTCAAAGCCAGTGGAAGATGAAGAATATGCAGACGGACGGACCCCAGGAAGAGCAGCAGGTTTGCAAGGGCGCAGGAAATAAAAAGTATCCCTTCTTTCTGTGTGACAGAATACATACGCGTTTATAACCCTACAACTATAAACCTAACTGGTTGTATACTGAATCTCTTTACCTGACGCTGTTGTAGCTACTCTTCCATCAGTTACTGCTTTGGAAGAAAGATATGTAATCATCTGAATATCTTCCTTGTCTTTACTGGGATATTCATTACGGAAAGTGGATTCTGTGGATAATGGTGCTGTAACTTCCGAACTACGGCTTAAATCAAGGGGGAGACATGGTCCACGCTTCTCAAGTGACATATGAGCAACGTCAGGTACTACATAAAAGAAAAAATGTAATGTTAAAAAAGATACATAGGTCCAACAAACAACAGTTTGGATTGCTGCGTTACATAACATAGGAAGAGCATACAGCTTTAGCTACGATAAGTCAAAACATCCCATTAGATGAAAACCGTGAAAGGTCTAATTTTTATGATTCAATTTCTCTTGGGCAGTTCTTTATTAGATTAAGATACATTACCCTCCAATTTTGATGACTGTTGGTTTTGACCACTGATGGAGAACACTTTTCCATCAGTAACTGAAGAGGGAGAAGAAACTTTTTCTACAGAATCATCAGGCAAGGAGCAAGTGGCTAAACGCTGTGATCTTCTTCTCCGTTGGCTATGTTTGTAGGATCTAGGGGAATTCACTGGCTGTGATGGACCTAAAAAGAGATCTTTCAATGTTCATGAAGCAGAGAGATATACCATAATCTTACCGCAGTATTTGAGATCTAAAGATGGGGAGTGCTTTAAATAGCTCTTATTTGCAAAGCTGGTAATCACAGCAGAACTGGTGAAAGTAATTAAAAACTATGACTACCAGGAGCAAAAAAAGTTATGCTCAAGATATGATTCTGCTTTTTGCTTAGTATACATTATTAGGGCATGTACTTCCCCACTGATAAAGGCTGTTGTTTTAGGCAAACAGTGTATTTACAATAAGCAACCCCCCCCGTATAACCCATGAGAGTAGGCTACTTATAATGGAAGGGGGCAGGAGGATTTAACAGTAAACAGAACAAATGATCACAGTTAAAGATCTGAAAAGTCATGGACAGTGGTAACATACAACTTAAAAAAAAATAATCAAAACCAGTGGTTAATTTTATATCCCACCTCCCATCCTCTGCTAACCTGATATCAATACCCCAACTATATTTCAAATGCACACTGCCAATGCATGGCACAGTAATGAGGCTCAAGAACATCACAGTTAAAAAAAAAAGGGGGGGGAATTGATATAGGTTAATATAGGCCTGATTCATTAAAAACAAAAAACCCACACTCCCTTACACCTCTCCAATTTTACCCAGTTTCACAAACTTTTGCCTTAGAAAAACATTTAAGTCATTATTACACTGTAAATCACTGTTCTCTCCTTTTCTTAAGCGGTTTTTAGAGTCAAAGATGTACAGATTTAAAAATAAAGACACAGCAAAATTAAATTTCCATTAGAGGGGGTAAAGACTCAGAAGCCAAAGATTAAAAGAGAGCACTAACAAGATCTAAGCTATTAAGTAACCTATTCTTAAATTAGCTAATTTTTAAAATACTGCTACAAAGAAGTCTAACTTAATCCAAAATACAAACATGCTCAAGGAAAACTACTTACCATTACTTTAGGGGTGGGGAGGGAAGGCATATTACAATATAAATGACCGTTAATATTTTGTGGGGACAAAATACAATTTCTACCAATGTGTCCTGAATAAATAAACATAGCTGAATTTGAACCCCTCCCTCTCCCATTCATTTAAAGTTATCTGTGTGACAAGATTAAAAGAAACTTATCTCCTGAGGGAAAATATCAAATCAAAGTTAAGGGGAACTCACGATGCAGGTAGCCTTCCATCCTCAATCACTATTCTAAAAGTGAAACAAAAAAATTTAGCTTTTGACTTACTGGAACCCACATTTATTTTAACTGTTGGCCTCATCATTTAATGTTCTTCAGGCAACAAAGAGCCTGATCCTAAGCAACACTAAAAACCTAATGTAATCTCAAAAATTATAGAAATATTTTCATATTCACAAAAAATAGCATATTCAAGGATGCAGCATAAACCTTTCCCTGTTCTTCTGATAACCAATATTTTTGGTACTTTCCAAATCAGTTACACATGTTAAGAAGCTGAACACCTACGGTATTATTCTGAGACAAAGAAACCCGATTTTTTATTTTTCCCCACCACAGATCTTGAACCCATCTTCTCTTTCACATCATATTTGGAGGAAATATCACATAAGGTGAAGAATGCCACAGCCAACAGGTACAGCACATCAGCCTGCTGAAGGCGGAATTTCTCAGAGAAAGAAAGGTCCACAACCAAGGTGTACGTCTTTTCTTTTTAATGAATCAGGCCCCTTCGGAAGAGAGGTTTGATTTTTCCTGTATCACTGTTAACACTAACGTGGAGATTTAAGCTGGAGGGAAAGTCACCCATTAAAAGCCACGACTCTATAAATATAAATGTATTATTTAAATGTATTATTTCCGGTAGAGTAGTTCATAGGCCTTATTATGTGACTTGACTTTTAAAATACTGAGCTACCCCTAATTCTCCCGCTTGGACCTTTTTTTTAAAGCAGATTCATTTTTAAAAGCAATAGCCATTTACAACCAAAAAAAATTTCTGTATATCTCTTATAAGTAATTACGGTATTTTTTTTAAAATGTCTGTGCTCACTAGTTTTATTTATCACAGAAGAAGGAAGCTGAGAGACCAGCGTCAAATCCTCGACTTGTATTAATTCTGGGGAAAGTGGTGATTTAGGGGGCTTTATACACCCAGAAGAATCTCCAGATTCTTGTTTGCATTTCTTGCTGCGAGCCTTTCCTGAAGACAAAGTTGAGGATAACAGTGCAGGTTTCTGAATGTTGGCAGAACTGCTAATATCAGCTTCATTTTTTTTCTGACTTTGTGGTTTAGGTGAAATCTCCTGAATAAATAATAAAAAATTGATACTTTTATTTCAGTTTCTTCGCTGTAGTTCTTGTATTCTATTTTGATCTTTTTAAAAGCAACTTTAGAATTCAAAACACATTTTAAAGCAACATTATTTTCAGTACAAATGACGACTACTTAAAAAGCATCACATTAAACTTTTTTTTTAAAGGAGCACTATCAATTATTTTCAGTATTCAGAACACCCTCATTTCTTACTATTTGAAACACCTGCAAAAAGCCCGAAAACAAAACATTTTTGCTCTATTCCCATTTTAAAAATTCCCAAAAGTCTTTTTAGTTTCTGTCTCTTTTCACCTTCAGTAGACCAGGACTATCAGTGTTGTCTCAAAGTACAACTCAGAGAACACTTTTTACAAGCTAGAATACACACACTGATCTACAATCATAGAACCATAGAACATCTCAAGTTGGAAGGGACCCACCATAAGGATCATCGAGTCCAACTCCCTGCTCCTCGCAGGACTACCTAAAACTAAACCATAAGACTCAGAGCATTGTCCAGATCCTCCTTGAACTCTGACAGGCTTTTGCACTGCTAGGAGCAAGCAATGCTTGTTCAGAGGGCTGCAGTTCAAAAAAAAAAGTTACCAAGATTTTCCCTTCACGTCATTTCCCTGACCATAGCAAAAAAAAAAAAAAAAAAAAAAAAAAAGGTCTTCAGGAAAACTTTGTTTAGCATTAATTTCATTTTTAGAGAAGAACCTGAAAAAGCTGATAATGCTCCTTTAAGGAATGTCTGAAAACAATAAAAAGTTTCCAAATACTGAACACACTCTCACACAACCCCTTTCAGTGCTGGGAGTCTGGATTTCACCACATTATATGTTTGTGCAAACACATGAAGAAATCACAACTTCTAGCACCACAGGGTTAAATAGATTGCTAACTGTTGGGGAAAAATGAGCAGATAAGAGTTAAAACAGTTTTTGAAGGAAAAAAAAGAAAAAATCAACATATAATTCAGCTTTCCAATTTCATCAATTTTCATCCTTCTTAACACACATACTGAAGTACTCTTTTTAGACAATTAGCATGCATTGACAGACATTAGCATTTTAGATTTTTAACTGGAAGGAAGTTCTTCCTACTTTACTGAATAAACTGTGCATGTGTTACAACTTGCCCAGTAATGGCAAACTACAATATCTGAACATAATTTCTTAAACCTGTCCCCTTTCTTGTCCCAGTTACATCACACAGCATAGTACCATCTAATAAAACCGTAACTAACAAAGTAGAAAGATATTTCTAGAATGTGTGCACCGCTTTATCCAAACTAAAAACGTCACATCTCTGATGATTTGAGGGTATTATTGGGTTTTGTTATAAATTGCAATTTTATTTTCCACTGGAACTTTCCATGTTCCAATGGAAAAAAAAAAAAACAACCCAAAAGTGGCAAACCAAAAAACCACAAGTGCACATTCTATGTTTGTAAAAGGGCACCCCTGAATGCTACATGAATAGCTTGCTGGAAGTATCGTGTAAAGATCCGGTACAAAACATCCCATTCAGCAGACATCAGTTCTACCTTGAATAACTCAGTTACACATGTACTAAGTGCAGTTTATTCATTTAAATAAAATATTCCATGAACTGTAAGTATACCTATGCTGGTTATGAGAGGTATTACCAGAAATTAATTAGAGTCGTAACTTGTAAATAAACAATTTTATTGTTCATCTTCACAGATGTGAAAGACATTACTACAGCATCCATTACTTTCAAATTACAAAGTTGTTTAAACAAGATTAAAAAAATTAAATTAATATTTTGATAAGGTGCTTAACCTCTTAACAGGACAAATTAACATTAAAAACCTTAATGAATTAATGTTATTCATCTAATCAGGTCTCGGTCAAAAGGAAATATAACATGACATACCCTAATACAGTTAAATAAACTACTGTATCTGCAACTAATCATCTGAGGTTTTTGGGTTTAAGACAACTGTAAACTAAAAATATATAAATATAAATAAAATAAACTTCCATCAACAAAGTCAGTTTTCGGCTATTGGCCTGAATACTTCTACCATGTTCTGTATTACATTATTAAAAAAACCTACAAGATATTTTATCCATTCAATTTTATAGCAGTAGCAGACAAAACCTCTAAGGAATGTCAGCTTTGCTATTGGAAAACCTTTTGGGGAGGTTTATAACTCGGCCATTTTAATGTGAATTTGGGCAGGAACTTAGTGAAAAAAGCTTTAAGCTCAAAAAATTTTCCTCCCCACAGTTAATCATTTAAACGTTTGTGAGGTTTCTGCTTTTAGTTAGAAGCGAAGGAATAGGACAATTTGGGATTTTAGATGCCTCTTTAAAGGAGCTTAACTAGTATTTCCAAAAATGAGGTTTTTCAGACCATTAGCATGTAAACAATGACAGAGACATCTTTTTTTTTTATCTAATCAATAAAACAGAAACAGCCGAGTTACTAAGTCTAAGAAGTAACAAAAAGTTGTTAGTAAATATGCACTGTAGTTTATACTGTTGCATACACAGTCTATGTAAACCACAAAGTCCCATTCACCGCAATGGGATTCTGCATGAGAAGATTTACATTGTAATGATTCTTCCAAAAACAACATGCTGTAAGCCATTTCACAGTTTTTTGCACATTGAAAATATCACACACAGTAGCAATAAAATCATAGCATCTTTAATATGCAAAAATTTGAGAAATGGAATGTCATGTCAATACATTGTAAACCTTTATGCAAAATATCGGTCAATGCATTGACACCGTAGTGGCTCAGTTAGCCGTTACAGTGACAGCATTAAAAACAGAAAATCATGTTCCATTGACAAGACTCGCATCCAACGCGGTGTCAATGGAAAAACCACAGCAACGCAATTATATGTCAGCTCTAAAGAACCAGTACAACCAAAATATCAAATAAAGTTTGGGGTAGGGACTGTTCATAGAGTGTGCCGGGGCTTAAGAACCGAAGTGCTCTTTTAAGAATTGCGGGCAGCAAGGCTATTTTATTCAAATGCTGCTGTTAAAGAAGAATGAAAATGAATACAAAAAAGCTGTATTAAAACTACATTAAGGCTCTGATTTAAATCATTGGAAAACAAAGATGTCCTGAATCAAGACTACTGCTCATCCTTAGCTTGCTTTACCATGCTTAGGCATTCAGCCCTTTTAATATGCAAGATAATGCACAACTCAGAGTCAAGCAATGCCTGAACACAATGGAATAAGCCAAAGATAAAATGGCAGCCTTCAGGTCCTGCAAATACGCAGGTTTAAAAATCAGACCCTTAACATTATTTAAAAGTTTCTTTTTTGTATTTATTAAAATACACACCCTTGCAAAACGTATGGCTCAT